CAACATTGTGCCTGCCAGTATATCTACAAAATGACCCATAAGTACCCACATGAGCCCCAGTTGTCACCCATAATTTTGATCATGCCTTCATCTCTCCTTTCTTGAAAAAACAAAGAGGTATTATTTGACAGCTAGGCTTTACATTTTGCTGTAGATTATCCTTCCAAGAACTATTAAATGTTTAAATTAGATATCACTTGAAATTATTTTATTATAACCATCAATAGCTGATTAAAAAGAACCAAATATTTCCAGTAAAAAAAAAAGAATATCCTGTCTCAGAAGCAGCAGACTCAGAGTCTCCACTCACCCACACAAGCAGAACAGCTAACTAATGGAAAAACTGACTGCAGTTCCTTGGCCACTTTGAGATGGATTCCTAGATCCACAGGCTGGCTAGGCATTTGGATGACATCTTAGTTAGGATTTCTGTTGCTGTGAAGAGACATCATGACCACTGCAACTCTTATAAAGGAAAAATGTTTTATTGGAGTGGTTTACATTTTCAGAGGCTTGGTCCGTTGTCATCATGGTAGTACATGGTGGCAAGCAGGCAGACATGTTTTTCAAGCACGAGCTGAGAGTTCTACATCTTCTACAGGTAACAGGAAGTGGTCTGTCTCTCTAGGCAAGGCTTGAGTATATATGAGACCTCAAAGCACACCTCCACAATGACACAATTCCACCAATAAGACGACACCTTCTCCAACAAGCTCATACCTCCTCCAATAATCTCATACCTCCTCCAACAACCCACACCTCCTAATAGTGTCACTCCCTCTGGGGCCCAATTTCTTTCAAACCACCACAATGCCTCAGGGCCTCCCCACTTACCACATTACAGCCCCTGGCTCTGTGACTCCAATAGCCAGCTTGTGTTCTGCAGCACAGGTGGCCATACCTCTTTGGGGACCTTGTTGTCTATGTATGGGTTGGTGAGATGATGTGGCCCCATTACCACTGGTCTTAGGAGTCCCTTGGGGGACTTCTGCTGGGAATAGAGTATGTTTGGGTCTTAGACAAGACCATAAGGGGTAGCTCAGTGCCTCATATGAGTGAGGTGAAGAAAAGACAGGGGACTTTCCAGACTCACTAATACAACTTGAGATTAGAAGTTTTTAAGGATTACTTTGGTTAATATCTCCCCACTTAGGAGACCCAAGGAAGGAGTCCCTGTCAGGATTGTTCCACTTACCAGAATCTGGACCAGAGAAAACTACCTGCACACAGCTCTTCAGAGCACCAGAAGAACTAGGTTGGTGTTGGTGTCCTGAAATACAGTGGTGATTTCTGGACTCACTGGCCCTGGTTTGATTGAGTTTGTAAAGCCAAACCCATAATTACCTCATATCAGAGGCTGTCCAGGGGCCTGAAATTTCAAAAGTGTCAGTTCCATTGATTCAGATAATTTATGTTGTAAAACAGGAGATCTCCCAAAGCTGCAGGTGAGGCTGCATGACAGTGTTTTGTAGTTGGAAGTTTTCCTGCATTATGCCTGGTCCTCAGTCAGGACACATCTCTCTCACCCATTGGTCTGGTAGCCACTCTGACCCAAGTAAACACACAAAGGCTTATATTATTTACAAATGATATGGTCCAATGAGTCAGGCTTCTCACTAACTAGTTCTTACATCTTAAATTAACCCATTTCTATAAATATATACTTTGCCACATGGCTCATGGCTTACTGGTACTTTACTTCTTGCTTCTCCTGGCAGCAGCTGACAGTGTCTCCTCTGCTCCATCTTTCTCCTTCTTCTCTTTCTAGTTGGAATGTCCCACCTAACCTTATTCTGCCTCATCATTGGCCAAACAGCTTTATTTATCAACCAATCAGAGCAACACATTCACAGCATACAGAACAATAACACCCATCGTTTCGCCTTTTCTTTCTATTCAAAAGGAAGGTTTTAACTTCAACATAGTGAAATTACATATAACAAAACAGTTATCAAACAAGAATTATAGCTATGATATCTGATCTATTTGTATTTGGCAAAATTAAAGAAAATATCCTATGTATCCCATGTTTGCGAGCCAAGGTTTCATATCTACCTTATTTCTTATCATAACCAAGGAAAACCATAATTATAACTATCTAGTCTTCAACTACATCAAAGAACTCAGAAGGATATAATGTTATTTAAGTAAACAGGAAATGCATTGTAAGCAACTTCCAAAAATCTAAAATGACAGAGACAGCTGGCTACCTGAACAGTTATCCAAAGTTCCTCTGTAACATTTAGCCCATAAGCCTAGTCTCTCTGTCATTTTTTTGCTCTGTGTCCTATAGAATGTCTCACAGTTTCATCTACAAAGCAGGATCCTGAAGGACCATCTTACTTTGTGAAGTTCCATGGTCACCTTCCTGTGGGTTCTGCATGTCCAGTCAATATATCATTTAGTCAAGCACTCCAGGCAGGAACAGTTTCTTGCCCAAATGGCTATTTTTGCCAAGAAGAAGATAAGTTCCATATGGAGTGTCTTCGACACCCATCTTTCTCTTTGAAATAAGTTGCTGCTTTGCCATGTCCTGTCTAACCATATTCTACCTCACCATTGGCCAAGCAGCTTTCTTTATCAGCCAATCAGAACAATACACATTTGCAGCATACAGAACAAAATCACCAATCAGTATTTTCTTAAGAGGATTGTTTAGCTGGGGGAACAGATGAATAAAATTCAGGCAAAAATGGAGTCACTTTGAGCAGTTCAGTAACAGACTTTGCACTATTTCTAGTTCTCAAAAAATCACACACTTTTCTAAAGACCAAGTTATGAAAACAATGTAAGGTACCAACTTTTATCATATCACTTATACTCATGTTAATGAAAGTCATCTCATTAGAGTTCTTTGTGAATGATGAAGATATTTTCTAAAGTTTTTTTTCCTAACACACATTCAGTAATAAGGATTTAAAATACATGCCCTTTGGGTATATATATTCGAAGATTTAAACTGTTCACCATTAGGAAAATGTGTTTAATATCTTTTTTTTTTTTTTTTTTTTTTTTTTTTTGGTTTTTCGAGACAGGGTTTCTCTGCGTAGCTTTGTGCCTTTCCTGGAGCTCACTTGGTAGCCCAGGCTGGCCTCGAACTCACAGAGATCTGCCTGGCTCTGCCTCCCGAGTGCTGGGATTAAAGGCGTGCGCCACCACCGCCCGGCATGTTTAATATCTTAATAAGCTTTCAGAATTTTGTAGATTCAAGACTTCTTTCTTTTAATTTGCAATGTGGTATTGTTATGTGGAAGTATGTATAAACTATAATCATTTGTTGTACTATGTATTTTGGTGGGTGGATAAAGCACATTGATAAAATGCATAAGGACAGTATAAGATAATAATATCCATGAGCTGGGCTGGAGAGATGGCTCAGAGATTAAGAGTACTCTCTGTTCTTCCAGGGGTCCTGAGTTTAATTCCCAGCAACCACGTGGTGGCTCACAACCATCTATAATGAGATTTGTTGCCCTCTTCTGGCATGTAGGCATACATGCCAGAACACTGTATAGAAAGTAAATAAAGAAATCTATGAGCTATACTTCTGTAATTTTTACTTTGTGTACAAACAGGGTTCTCCAGTTGTCATGCCTTATTCATTGTCTCTCTCCACTCTGTGCTCAGTAGTTGTTTAATCTTGTAAATGAATACATCTTAAAAATATGTCATTTTTAGCCTGGTGTGGTGGCTCACTCCATTAATCCCAGCACTGGGGAGGCAGAGACAGGCAGATCTCAGAGTCAAGTCCTATTGGTCAGGACAACAAGGACTACACAGAGAAATTCTTAATAAACAAACAAAAGAAATGGGCAATTTTGTCATTTATTCATTGACAAATATGTGGCCTCAGCAAAGTTTCTGTTATTTACAGGTGACTTGAAGTTTTTTTTTTGTTGTTGTTGTTGTTGTTTTCTGTTTTTAAATCATGACTTGATATTCAGGTATATAATTTCATGTCATCTGTTGTGGAATAATCTTTTTGTATGTATGCTATGAGAATGTGTTACTTGGATTGGTTTACTAAAAAGCTGAATGGTCATTAGCTAGGTAAGATTTGCGGGGCAGAGAGGATGCTGGGACAAGGTAAGAGGTGCTAGGATGCAGAGCAGGCAGCATGGACATTACAAAGTAAAGGTAACCAAGCCATGTAAAAGGAGTAGATGAAAAGAAATTGGTTAATTTAACTTATAATAGCTAGTTAGAAACAAGCCTAAACTATCGACAAACTTTCATAATTAATAATGAGTCTCTGTGTCATGATTTGGGAGCTGGCTGGTGGGACAGAGAAAGTTTCTCTTCAGTCATCCAAATAAAAAAATAAAATACTGTCCTGAATTTTTGAGCTATATTATTTAATCTTGTTCTGGACCATCTACTTTTTAGCTTACAAAATAAAACTCTATGTGTAGGATAAAACATTTATATTTTGATGATGACTCAAAAATCACACAAAAACAATTAACTTTCTCTTTTAATGCTTGGCTGCATATATAATTATAATAATGGATGTTTGGTCATATAACATCTCTTGTTTGTTTTTATTTTTCAAGATAGGGTTTCTCTGTATAGCTTTAGCTGTCCTGAATCTGGCTCTGTAGACCAGGCTGGCATCAAAATCACAGAGATCCACCTTGCTCTGCCTCCTGAGTGCTGGGATTAAAGGTGTGTGCCACCGCCACCCGGCAATATCTATATTATTTAATGGACTTATTTTTGTTAGTAAATTGGCCTTAGAACTTACTTACCTATTTAACTTTGAATAATAAGCCACTATTTCCATGTTTTATTTGAGCATGCTCTTAGTCCAATAAAACTATAGAGTATTTCTACCTGCTCTATTTTGTGAATGATAGCCAGTGTTTATAGGTAAGAAAATATACTGTTTTCTGATTTATGGTTAAACATATATGAGTAAGTCTCTCAATTTTAACAGTAAGCATTATATGTATGAAGAATATTGCTTAGCTTTTGATCATATCTCAACTTTTCCTCAACAGGAACAATACCAAATGACTGTAAGAATTTTAGCATGGCCATTGAAGGTAACTCACTCCTTATTCAACGCCAGAGAATCCATACAGGGGAGAAACCCTACAAGTGTGAAATATGTGGAAAGGCCCTTAGTTCTCAAAAAAACCTATCTATACACCAGAGACTCCATACTGGAGACAAACCCTATATGTGTAAAGAATGTCATAAGGCGTTCAGTACTCGCTCATCACTTTCTATACACCAGAAAAATCATACTGAAGAAAAAACGTACAAGTGTGAAGAATGTGGCAAATCATTTTACTATCCTTCAATGCTGAAGCATCATCAAAGAATTCATTCTGGAGACAAACCCTACAAGTGTGAAGGATGTGGCAGAGCTTTTTATTATCCTTCATTCCTGAAGCGACATCAAAGAGCTCATTGTGGACAGAAACCATACAAGTGTCAAGAATGTGGACAAATGTTTTCCTGTGCTTTAATCCTTAATAAACATAAACGAATTCATATTGATGAGAAACCCCACAAGTGTGATCTGTGTGGAAAAGGATTTACTAAGCCTTCTGTACTTTCTGAGCACAAAATATGTCATACTGGAGAGAAACCCTACAAGTGTAAAGAGTGTTACAAATGTTTTTCCTCTTCTTCAACCCTTAGAAATCATCAAAGAATTCACTCTGAAGACTGTCACTACACATGTAGGGAATGTGGAAGAGCCTTTTACACTCTTTATGCCCTTACTCAGCACAGGTTTGTTCATTCTGGAGAGAAACCCTACAAGTGTGAAGAGTGTGGGAAAGCTTTTTATGATTCTTTATACCTGAAGAAACATCAAAGAGCTCACTGTGGGCAGAAACCATACAAGTGTGAAGAATGTGGGAAAACATTTTTCTCTGCTTTAATCCTTAACAAACATAAACGAATTCATTCTGGCGAGAAACCCTACAAGTGTGATCTGTGTGGAAAAGGATTTTCTAAGCCTTCTTTCCTTTTTGACCACAAAATATCTCATACTGGAGAGAAACCCTACAAGTGTGAAGAGTGTGACAGATGTTTTTCCACTTCCTCAACCCTAAGAAGACATCAAAGAATTCATTCTGAAGACAATCCCTACAAGTGTGAGGAATGTGGCAGAGCCTTTTACACACTTTATACCCTTACTCATCACAAGTTCATTCATTCTGGAGAGAAACCATACAAGTGTGAAGAATGTGGGAAAGCTTTTTCTTATAATTCTATCCTGATCCAGCACAAATTAAGTCATACTGCAGTGAAATCTTATGAGTGTGAAGAATGTGGGAAAATGTTTTACCCTACTTCAAAACTAAAGAAACACAGAAAAATTCATTATAAAGAGAAACTGTACAAATGTGGATTCTGTGGAAATGCCTTTTCTAGTAATTCTTCCCTGGTTCAGCACAAAATAGTTCATACTAGAGAAATGCCCCAAGTGTGAAGAATGTGGCAATATGTTTTCCAGTATCTCAAAATTGAAGAGACACAAAGGAACTCATTGTCAAGAGAAACCTTTCAAATGTGAAGTATATGGTAAGGACTTTTGTACTCGCCCAGAACTTTCTGTACATAAGAGAATTGATGCCAATAAGATACCATACAAGTGTAAAGAATGTGGAAAAACCTTTTCTAGGCTCTCATACCTTACACTTCACAAATTACATCATATCAGGGAGAAATCTTATAAATATGAAGAATGTAAATGCTTTACTCTACTATGGGCCTTAAAAAACACTAGTAAATTCATACTGGAGAAAAACCATACAAGTATGAAGAATGTCACAAAGCCTTTAGTACACATACAACCCTCAAGAGACACAAGACAGTTCATACTGGAAAGAAACCCTACAAATGTGAACTGTGTGGAAAAGGATTCACTAGACCTTCTATACTCACTGAGCACAAGATAGCTCAAACTGGAGAGAAACCCTACAAGTGTGAGTTGTGTGGCAAATGTTTTGCCTCTTCTTCAGACTTTAAAGCACATCAAAGAATTCGTTCTGAAGACAGTTGCTACAAGTATGGGAATGTGGCAAAGCCTTTACCAAACTTTATGTATTTATTCAACACAAATTTGTTCATACTGGAGAGATACCATACAGGTGTGAAGAGTGTGGCAAAGGATTTTCTAGTCCTTCATATCTTAAGGTACATAAAACAATTCATTCTGAAGAGAATGCCTTCAAGTGTGGAGAATGTG